TGCCTGCTGATATGTTTCTGGACATGTGGGATCTCCATAAGTTTGAGTCAGTTTTATGTGCTGCACGACCAGACCCATGCCCGCCCATTAAAGTAATTTGTGGCTTAGAAATGCAACTGTAATGTTAAAAACAAAAGTGCAGAGCAGAGCGATCGACGTTGTGCTTAGTCACAGGCATTTTCTTTTTTTGCTTTTTACCTTCATTCTCTTTCGCTGCAGGATGTTGTTGACAACATCAGTTTAACGATACAGGGAGGGGTCCCAACAACAAGTCATTTGAGTCTGAGTCAATGTCGGGTCACAGTCACTGAAAACAACTGTGATGAAGCAAATCTTTTACTTCTCGTATCTCATTTACACCCTAAACTGCGAGAAAACTCTAAATACGAGTGTAATTGCTGCATAAATGTAGCGTAATAATACATAAATTAGCTCCCAATAATACTTGTGTGTGTTTCTTTTTTTTTCTAGCATCCCAGCCTCACCATGTAATAAGCTGTGGGGCCAAACTGTGGTTTAGGGCGTAGGTTTAAAACAAAATTAAGAAACTGAAAATTGCGAGGAAGGCTTTCCTTCATTTAGTGGTCCATCATGCAGGACGCATGAGATCATGAAAAGGCTAATAACAGTGATGTGGATTTAATCATTTTAACGTAAGGCCTTATATGAAATATTATCAGCTCGTATGTGAAGCAAATTAATGGTCGAAAAATGAGTCATAGAGCCTCATCCGGTATGAGTATTACTTTTTTTTGAAGGAAAAAAAAGAATTTTATATTGTGATCATTTCCACCTCATTATCCAATTATATTTTCAACGTCTGCCTATTTTACTGCAGACGTCGTGTTTTTGATTTCTTCTTCATGTCAGATGGAGCCGGTTAGAGAAGCTGGTCTAGACATTATGAATTCCTTTCCCATCATATCTGGACAATTGTGTCTCTCATCCCAATTACTTTTGACCACCAGCAGTTTATAATCATGCAGGACTAAAGTATTGTAATGTTCATGTGAGGATGACCTCAGCAGGCATCCACTGAGCTCTCACAGCTGTCGTGCACAATCACGTCGCAGAGTACACACTAACTCAGGATGAACTGTGTCAGACGGGTATATTCTTTCCTGCCCGCTTGGCTTGACCCCCCCCCCCCCGTCTCAGATCCCACTTCACATGCTCCAGACTGGATGCTGCTTCAGAGCTGACGCATCTCCAGTTTACTTTACACAAACCCCTACAGGAACGTTTGTTGATATAAGTTGCTCAGCCTTTCAGAACAAGTTTTCTTTTCCCCCTCTTCGTCAGAAAAACCTTTACGGCATAAATCCATATTATCAGATGGGCTGAAAAGAATCTGGCCACTGTGGTTGCTTGCCGACCACCAGAAAATTGTATTTACTACTACACTTAGCGCGACTTTAACCTTGACCAACGCAACGCTGAGCACGACAGTTTGAACCCCGAACAGTGTGCAAGGGCGAAGGCAGGTTTAGGATTAGTCAACCACATAATCAGCACGCCCCTTTGCATGCTTTACCTGGAAGCTATTTCACTGGCAACCCCTGAAAGTGTTCCCCATAAAGTCGTGTTGACAGACGGTGAAAACGGCGAGACGGACCAAAAAGTAAATAAGTACCTCGAAAAAACGTTTACATCCCTAATCAAGTCCAGAGCGCTCCCTCTATCCAATATGCCTTCAGAGTTTTATAAATAGATATTATACTCGACTAAATTGGAGACAGGATTTCACCGCTCTGTGGCTGTCATACGTTTTCTATTATTTGCTTTCACTTTAGAATATTGAAACTCTTGATATCTGGTTACAGATTTTCAGCCCGCTCAGCCACTTCTTCATGTTTTGGCGTCACTGTGGGGCCTCACACTCAGCGGGATTTTGAATGAGCTCCAATCAAGCATGTTAATTTAAGAGAGAAGGAAAAAAATCTTTGCCATATGACTTTGTTATTAATAAATTCACCAGAGGCCAGCCATGTGTTCTGTTAAATTTATAGTCTTTTTCTTTTTTCAGCTACCGTATAGTGCCTGTTTTATTTGTCAGTGGTATCCAGCTTGAGGTTCATCTTGAGTTTTATCCCCTGTGAATGATTCATTTTAGCACCGCATGCATTTAAAGTGTCTTTCCCCCCCCCTCACAGCATGCATGTGTCTCTCTGGGCTTTTCCCCCTCCCCAACACTTGTAGAACAAACCAGACCACCTCCCAGAATCCTCCAAAATAACCTCGCTACAACTGTGGTGCAGAGGCATGGCGCTAACTCACACACAAGCCCTCACTTCCATTCATGCAGCGCAATAAGCCAAACATATAAAACCATTCCCACCCTAATAAAGTGGGGCCTTTCTCTCTGCCACAAAGGGATCTGGCTCCCAAGAGTGTAGCTCTCTGAAAAAAAAAACTGACCCTAACCGAGTAAAACAGCAACACGGTGCAGGAGAGTCGAGGATATGAGCCACCAAACAGCCACAATAAACCAGGTACCCCACCTGATGCAAACATCAATATTTCAGGATCGGAAAACTCAGTAAACTTTATATAGTTCAGTTTTTAATCGGCTACCATTTTCTGTTTTTTATAAGCACTTCAGAAAAGCTGCTCTCTGAATAAATAGTGGCACTTCTGTGTGAGGGTTAACAGGTGTAGCCTCATTGTGGTTATTATCAGCAAAGTGCAGCAGCACAGCGAGTCTGCATCAGATAAACGGCTCATCGATGAAAAACTCTCCATCTCCATCTGCTTTTTCTTGTCCTGAGGTAGTCGTCATGACGATGACTGCCTGTCTGTCTGCTTGCTTTGTGACTTGGTGTGCATGTGTCATATGTTTTACGTGTGTGTGTCTGTGTGTGCGTGTGTGTGTTTCTGAGGTTTCTGAGGTGAAGCGTCCTCTCGTTTCTCACGCGAGGTGCATCTAATGTTGCACATCACATGCTTACATGTGTTCTCAGTCTGCGCCTTGAGATAGGCAGACATTTATACGAGTTATAAAGTTACACCTACACACTACATAAAGACTTTGTGTTGCCATGAAATATTAATTAATCCTGCATCTCAAATGCTGAGATACGAATAGATAAAACGTTTTATCATTTTTTCCAAATTTGAATGTATTTTCTTTGTGTCACGTCTCAGACAACCGAGTTTGCAGCAGTATTTCCTGACCTCTGAGGAGATGATAACATTATTTCCATAAGCTGCATGTCACACAGTATTTAAGTCAGTGATCGGGAAGCCAGACATTTAACAGTCTCCTTGATTTTCCTGAGCCGTTCCTCTTAATTTCAGTTTGATTTGAGTTTCTTCTTTTAAAAGAGAACCTTGGCCAAATTGCTTTTCCTGTGTAACGCAAGTTGTTAAACTAACCGCCGTGGTATTTTGCTTACATGAGGTAGTCCCACTTTAAAATGCTTTCAGATTGAACTGGAGGATTTAATGACTTGTTGGCCTTTGTTCTCTCATAGTTGACTTTCAGCCTCCTGACAGAATGAATTGTAAAAGGATATAACATTTTCACTAATGATTTCCAATGGATGATTACAGCTTTAAATGCTTGTCTCCTTTTTTTTCTGCCCCCCTTTTGACCTACTGTCTCACATAGTGCCTCACTGCTGGGCTCAAAATCAAGATCGGGCACCCCAGAAATCACATTACATTAGAGGTTGGAGTGTCTCAAAAGCCTAACAGATGGCATGCATGAAACCTCAGGTCGGTGACACTCTGATCTGTGAACAGCGAGGAGATAAAGGGGTGCAGATCCAGCGGTTGTGGAGAAGAAGAAAGAAGGGCAAGGGGGTGGGGGGGCTCAGCCTTGTCAGAAGGAAACTATAAATGCCTGGGTGTCTGTAGAAGCTGTGAGAACACTGGAACATCATCCCCTGTCACTGCGGTTCCACAGAGGATATCAGAGGACTGTTCTCATGTGAGACGCAGATGTACTGAGCATGTTTGTGTTCAACTGTGTGTGTGTGTGTGTGTGTGAGTGTGTGAGAGAGAGAGAGGCTCCAGAGATTTTAAGATATCCTCTGCAAACAATTAGGAGCTGGTAGTGCTTCTCCTGTGGCTGTCTCTAATTAACACGGCAACGAGGCCTTAATTGGGAAGGAGATTTAGTTTTCCCTTTTTTCTTTTTCTGCCTGATGGTGGCTGCTTCAGTGGTTAGTTGTGTGAGGAACAGTGGGAACAGCTGAGCACCCCCGGCCATCCGATTAACAAATCTTGTGTCAACACTGACTACTTCATCTTTGTGTTTTCTACTTTATCATTTCACAGGAATAAACAAAAATGTTCAATTTTAATCAGGTGAAACTTTCCCACCTTCCTCAACTTCAAAAGCTTCTCAAGAGCTATTTGCAAGTAAAAGCCATCTGATTGGAATCACCATGGCAACAAATGGCTTCCTCATTGAGGCTAACGTTTAGCGTCTCCAAGTATAGTGCACTCACCTCACCACACAGACCAAAAGTACCTCCTGGAAGTAAAGCAGAGTGAGAGATGGACTAATATGTTTTCTTTTTTTTTTTTGCTTTGCTCTTTTATTGTATTGCCATCTTCCAGTAAAGGGCCAGATCACGTGGAGCCCTGAGCTCGTATTCTCACAGAGAGAGCACAGAGTTTCACTTGATAATGAATGTCTGTGGTGAGAATCCCATTATGGGGCCACTCCATCAAGCCTACAGAAAACAACAGGAGTCGAGAGGCAGAGGCCTTTAAGGGCCATATCAGCCAACTGGATGAGGGCTGCTGTGCAAATCAGATCGTCCTTTGTAAACCTCCTTCAGAGTGTGTCTGTTCGGTGTGTGTGTGTGTGTGTGTGGAAAGAGAGATAAATGCATTCACACACTGCAAGTAGCACCCAGCGCTCACATTTTAACACACTTTTTTTTGTCAAGAAACACATTGTCACACTGAAGTGTCAGCTGGACAGAAAGAGGGATGCTGGTGGTAGGAGGGAGGTGGATAAGGGGAGAGGGGGGAGGATCTGCACTCACCTCTGAGCAGATTGCTGCTGTAGTTGGAGAAGGAGTCAAAGATGCTGTTGGATGCCATGACAGGGTCGCCAGAACGGGAGCGGAGTCCTTGCTGTAGTCAATTCCCGCCGACCTTGCAGGGGAAAGAAAGGAGGATTGAGAAGCAAAAAAAAAAAAGAGTTCGAGGGAGTGGGAGCGAAGGGAAGAGAGCACAAGAAGACAAAACTCCTGGAGCTCGGAACCCGTTTGCAACCAAGAATCTAGGGTTTGTGACCACCGCAGGAATCCCAAGCCACAAGCCTGCAGAGAGAGCAGCAGCAGGAGATGTTTGAGGGAGAAGTGGAGAGGAAAAGGGTCAGAGGGAGGAAGAGAAGAAAACGCAGAAATGAATAATTTTACAAATAAGGCAACAGGAGAGTTTGTGTCTCCAGGTGTGGAGGTGGACTCACCAGGGCTGGAGATGAGAGGGGGCCCACCCAACAAATCCTGGGTGGTGGGAGTGGGCCGGCGCGGAGGGCTGGGTTTGTGGTCCTCTGTCAGGCTGCAGGGCTGAGGGTCTGAGGTTAGACTGCTAGACTGATATCGTGGTCTGTCTCTCTCTTTCCTCTCCTACAATGGTGGCGGCCTGACTGGAACACCAGCGCTAGTAAAAAAGGCTAAAAGCCACAGTCTTTCTGCATCCTCCTCGCCATCCTCCACACAGAGACACACACTCCCCTCCGTGAGTGGTGGAGCTCACGTCACATGTCACGTGAGGTCACCGGGCGCTCTCCCTCCCTCCCACCCTCTCACCCTCCCTTCCCCTCTTCTCCTATCGTCTTTGCTTCTTCTCTGGTTTCTGTTTTTTTTTTACTTTCCGTGCTTCTCCTTCTTTCTGACTTGCCGTCTTCACTCTCACTTTTCATTAGTCGTCAAAGTTTTGGAAACATTCTATTTTCTTTTGAGTTCAAACCAGGCAGCGGCCCTTCGCCACTGTGGCTCCCTGCTCCGTGTTTAGTGAGAGAGTGAGAGAGTGAGAGAGAGAGAAAGCGTTAAAACCACTGCAAAATAAGAGAGAAAAAGAGCAAACGCGATGATGAGAAAGAGAACGACTGATGGCTGTGGCTTTGTGCCGCTGATGGGAGACAGGAAAGTGTTGTCTGTAACTGACGAACAACACTGAGCGTGTTGTTCTTGCCTGTGTATGTTCTGTGCTCATTCTATGTTTGTCTGACTCACAGCACATCTGTGTTTGTAAGAACCGGTGGTTTTGGGCCTGCAAGCCCCCACTCCTCACTTACCACTTGATAGTATCATAATCTTAGTCTCATTAGAAGCGGCGCTGCCAGTTGCTCGGCTCCGCTCGAGTCCTCTCCTCGTTCTTAACTTTCATCATCCATCCCTCACTCAACTTATCTGTATTTGTTTTCATTCTCTTTTTACGTTAAAGTTTGCCCATGCGCATAAACACTAAGGCATATCATTTCAGTTGTGTGTCTCTACTGAAAAGAGAGTGTTTGTGGGCTCATTGAGTGGTGTCACCTCTTTCCCGCTCTGAAAGTGCAGAAGCATTTTAACCTGATTGTGGTTTTCACACTTTTTTCATTTTCTAAGTTGAATTTAAAAACGGAAAAGTTGTTGTGATGTGGCCACCTGTGCTAGTTGTACAGTCAGCCTCAGAATTGATTTAAGACCAATATTCTAAATAGTATAACTTTTCTTTCTGTGTGGTGTTTATTTTAAAGTTGCTGCAGAAGTTGTGTGAAAAACAGGAAATGAATCATGTTCCCTGAGATTCGTGCAGAAATGCAGTGATGAGCAGAGTGACAAAAGAGCAGTCAGAGAGAAAGACTGTGGTGCTGTCAACCTGACAATCTTGCAGGACTACACGTGTACATGTGTGTTTTTGCGTGTTTGTATGTGTCTGTGATTGAATAAATCACTGGCATTTGAAAACCTGTGGTATCCACACTTCCTCTCTCCTTTCTCCTGTCTCTCGGTGACACACTGACCATGTCTGGCCAAGGGACAACGGACCCAAACCACCGTCTGGTCACTCATGTGACCCAATCGCTTTCCCTGTAAACCAGTCTGTGTGTGTGTGTCTGTGTGTAGCTGCAGGAATGTTTCTGTCCTGTTTCGATTTCACTCTGCTTTGTGTGTGGATGTCAGCCCACATCGTCCTCTACTAATTGTTGGACAAAAACTGATGCATGGACCACAGGATGTGTTTGTATGTGTGTACAATACCATGTTCTGAGTGTGTATGTGTGTGTGCATGAGAGAGAGCAAGAGAGAGAGAGAGAGAGCTTGCCGGTCTTCCTGGTAGCCCGCACTGCCCTGTAAATGAGCAGTTGCCGTTGAGTTAGGCGGCAGCGCAGGCTAAATAACACGGCGTGTCGGCAAGTGTGGCCGAATGCTGAGGCCACAGCCGCGGCCCCAGGGCTTTTATCAGTCCGTCCACGCGGCCACTACAGGCCTCCGACTTAACCTCACACACAGCAAAGCTTCCTCTTCTAACACCTCTGCTGCCTCCCGACATGGCCTCGGCCCCGGCCTGCCAGCCCAGGGACAGATTACAGTTGTGTGTGTCGCTGCTGAACAAGAGGTACTGCTGTCGTACAGGCCCACAGGGAAGCACCACTCTCTGCAAGGCCAAAGCCAGGGTATCTGAACCATGAGGCTGAATTATTCTTCAGCTTAAGAAAAAAATAGGAAGCTGTTAACATTTGCAGCTTTGTTTGTTCTTGCTTTTCCTCAGGTCTGGTGCATTTGAGGTGGAAAGTCTCTGCAGTGTCTGGTCTCATCTGTGTTTGTTTAGAAAAAGGGGGATGCTCAAGAGTGCAGAGCACTGGCTTCATAGCACAGGGCTTTGTGGTTGTTTCAGTTTATAATCATTTTACGTGCGTGTATTTGTGCAAGTGAGACATGTTGCTGGTAATAATTCATGTTGTCTTGTTTTTGTTTTTTTTCGTTTAAGTGAGAAATATATTTTTCCCCTGGATGTTTTCACAAGGAGAGACTGTTTCAGATTATTGTCAATTTCCCTATTTTTGTATTGCATCTGGATTTTCAATGAGCAATGTAGGAAAAGCAAAACAAATATAGAAGCCGTCCCACAGCATTGTGCAAGAGCGGGAATTGGCTCTATTGTAATCCAGTCCAAACTTGACATTTGAAGAAAGCTCCGAAGTGGAGGCCTTTTCTTTAGTCCTCAGGCCGCTCTGTGTTTTTTCTTCTTTGTCTAGGTAAACATCTGCTTCATGTTTTGAAATCTATCTCATGGCTTTGCACTGCCCATGACCATGAGGGGAAAAATAGTCTGAGGATCATTGTGGCTGTCTTTCACTCAATTCTTTTTTTCCCCTGCCCAGGCCTTGTTTATCAAGCCCCTGTATTTAAGCTTAATATAACTCCTGTTTTGCTGAGAAAACTGTGGTGGTTTAATCACTGTCAGTGGTCCTACGCCTCTCGGGTGTGGCTCGCGAGGCAAAAAGGACCCAGTGCGGTTGTGCGTCCAGCTGCAAAGGGGCTTATTTTGTGGTCTAAAAATTGCAGGCTTCCCCATATGTTCCCCATAAACGTGGAATGCAGCGTGGGACTTGAGGAGGCTTTTATAATGAAGTGGCCGTCATTGCATCAAACACCATGATCCTTCCTGCCTCTGGGATCGGCCATGGGAGCCCGTTTTAGGACTGCGTACACAGGTCCAGTGTCCCGACTGCTCATTCACACCTCATACCTCAGAATATCTTTAGCATATTCATATAATTTTTTGCTTTGCATAGATTTGATATGCAAACAGAATAAGAGAGTCCTTACCCACTTTACATGGTTCTTTTATTTGTATCTCAAACTAGAGCAAGAACCTTTTAACAAAGAAAGGGCCTCTGAAAGTTCTCACGCTAAATCCAAGTATTTTTAGAGAGAGAGAAGTGGCACAAGAGAGCGCAAAAAACCAAAATATAAAAGATGTAAAAATTCCTTAATTGTCACATTTGAAAAAAACTGCTGTTAAAGCACAACAGCAGCCAAACAGTGGAAACCTAGGAGACCAGAGTTCTTAGAAAGTTGCAGCTGAATGAGAAATTAGTTTATTGTTATGTTACCAGCTCAGCATTAATCTGTGCGTGTGTGTCTCTGCACGTGTGCGTCTTGTGTTGTTGTCATTGTAAACGAGGCACTCCCAGATGCAGTGGTTTTAGCGTGCAGTATCACGGTTGGAAGTGATCACCGGGCCCATTATTTATTTATTGGCTCCAGCAGACATGGAGACTCTGGTAACCACAGAGAAAGGAGGATAGTGAGGAGGGGGGCGCCGTGTCGCCACACACCGAGCAGACCGTATCCCACAGTTCCTGGGGAGCGCTGCGTGTATACAGTAACCTGTGGAAGGACTTAGACAACGGAAAGTCAATGATGGGACGTAGCAGAAGGAGAGGGCCAAAGCTGCAGAGTCAGTATTTATGGAGAAACTGAGAGGAACACTGATCACCAAGATGATCTGAGATTGAAGACCATGATTTAAAGGCACAAAATCATTAAGAGGTGTTGTGCATGTTGTGGAAGACAGATAGTTGTGTTCCTTCAGTGCAGTTTTGCCAATGCGGCACCTGCTGCAGCTCTGTAAATGTACAGTTTGAACCTCCCGTCTTCAGTCATGCTCTTCCTGTTATTCAGAAACTGTGCCAACACAAAGACCCTGCATCCAGGTTCCTTCACAGCAGGTTGATTCAAAACCCCCCTCACCGCCACTGGCAGGGAGCCGTGTAGACTAATTCTATAATTTCTTGCTGCCCTCCTGTTTACCTGGTGAAATCCAACACAAAATAAATACTGTACATTCCGTCACAACAGTCACGTCACATCCTCAGTGGTGATGTTTGCATGTTCAGATTAAAAAGGAATAAGGGAAGTTGAGTGTGAAGTTGTAACCTGTGCTTTCTGGATTCGATTTTTCCCAGTAGTCAAGTTGTGGAAGTTGAGAAGTAGATATAATAGATATCAGTGGCGACTGGTGATACAATTTATGTATGGATGGGGGGGGCGCAGTTTTTTTGGGGGTTTTTTGGGGGGGGACAAACAAACTGAATCTAGACTCAACAAAAACAACACAACACAATATGCTAATCCTGTAGCCTGCATCAAGCTGCCGAGCAATGCT